GTATAAAAACATTATTTTAAGTAATACATAGCAGCATTCAAAAACAAAACTCCTGGTAGTCCTAAGACTAAAAGGAAATCTAAGAGACCAGAGAAGTAGACAAAATCAGCTTAAAGTGTGAATTTACGCAAGCAAAAACATGTCAGAAAGAGTGCTAACACAGAAGGTGTAACACAAAGCATGCTTTAAGACATATTGGAAGTGAAGAGCATGAGAAGGTCTAATAGCAGACAACAGTGTAGAAAAAGGGTTACCTCCAGTACACTATCCATCTCCACAACCAGCAAGTAGTGCCAGTTACTTTAAAACAGAGCGGAAAGAGAGAGCTTAGAATGAAAGGACAGGCCAATGCTCTGGGTGATACCTAGGAAGAATGAGAGTCTCTGAAGCCCTGAAAATAAGCTGCCAAGGCACTTGAACTGAGAGAATATCAGTATGTCCCACCCATCCTTTACTTTCACTGAAAACTGCAGAGAACACATCATGGCACTAGCACACTGCTATCTTCCCAGGGAGTCACCCAAACAAAGACAATGAACAGTAAAATTCACACTCCCAAACACGAACACACTAGCAAGGGTGCTGAACATTTGAGGAATACCAAGACTATGAAATACCTAACAAACTTTAAAATGGAAGAAACCAAAGTAACACAGTCAACAGCACACAAAGAACAAGAATGTACAACAATTACAATATTACCAGGGAAATGAAAACATAAGCGAAGAGTTTTATGGGAAAACTAAGTGGAATTCATGGAAATGAAAACAAAAATTTGTGAAATAAAAAGAGACTCATTAAATGAACTGAATGGCAGACTAGACAAAACTAAAGAGTATATTCCAGTGAGCTGGAATATCAAGCCTAGGAATCCTTCCAAAACACAGTAAAAAGGGATAAAAAGATTTATTTAAAGAACATTACATACAGAGGTTCCAATATATCAGTCTAGTAAGAGCTCTCTTGAGGAGAAAATGTAGAAGCAATATTTGAAGAACTTATAATTGCAAATGTACCTATAACTGAAGATAAGTACTCACATTGACAGCATTCAGTGGGAACTTAAGCCAAGAAGAAAAAAAGAAAAAAGAAATGTTCAAGTGAAATTCAGAATGTCAAGGATAGAAAAATAGTCCTAAGAGTTATGAGAAAGGAAAGAGAATTCTTGATAAAAGAACAAGATCCAGAACATCACATGTCTCATTAGCAACAAGTAAGATGATAAGAAAGCAGAATCTTCAAAGTGCTATGGAAAATAAACCTCAAACTTCTATTTCTTTATTCAGCCAAATTATCATTCAAGGCTCATTTGTAGCCATGATGAAGTAACAGATCTACCCTTTCATCTTAAACAACTACAAGTTTGAACAAAACATATGAAATGGTTTTCAAACACTGGACAACAGAGCACAGGACAGTGAGCCTGGAGAGGAGGGAAACAAAGGTGGTAAACCCAACAGCTTCCCACCTTACTGACTGGCAAGGCTTTCCTGGCTGCAGCACAGAGACAAGATAACCAAACAGAGCTTGGCAGTCTCTAGAACTGAGGAAACAGTATTCAGACCTTGGAAAATTGAAGAACACTAGAATTTGCAGGACATAATTGCAAAGAAGAAAGAGCTGTACAGGGAAGTGTGCTTAAGATCTAAAGAGGAACCCTAGAGCTTCCTGCTGAATGACAAACAGCATATTGTCAATAATACCTGAGGTTCAGTCAGGGTTGCAAATGTCTCATGCTTCCAAGGGCCAAACTGAAAAGACCTCCAAACCAATAAAGCACTGAGTATTTAAAAGAATACTGCTATAGCAGTGAGGCCAAATTAGCACTTGACTAAAGATTGTTCTGTATCGACCCAGCAAAGCTTATAAACAAACCTTTAAAGACTCAAACTATTTCCAAGTAACATAACTGCAATCCCAGAAAAAAGTCCACAAATATTTAAAGAATACAAAAAACTGCAACATAAAATACACAATGCCTGGTATCCAACTACAAATTACCAAACATGTAAAGAAGAAAAGATGACCCTAAGGAGGGAAAAATCAATCAACAGAGGCTCAGAAATGACAACGATGGTAGAATTAATAGATAAGGACATGAAAACAGCTATTATAATTATATTCTATATGTTCAAGAAAATGAAGAACAGCATAAGTATTATGGAGAGGGACACAGAAGGTATAAAAACAATACAAACCAACTTTGACATAAGAAATACAATCTCTGGTGGGACACAGTGGTTCATGTCTGTAATCCTAGCACTTTGGGAGGCCAAAGCAGACAGATTATCTAAGGTCAGAAATTTGAGACCAGCCTGGCCAACATGGTGAAACCCCATCTCTACTAAAAAATACAAAAAAATTAGCCAGGTGTGGTGGCACCTGCGTGTAATCCCAGCTACTCAGGAGGCTGAGGCAGTAAAGAATGGGAACCCAGGAAACAGAGGGTGCAGTGAGCCAAGATCACGTCTCTGTACTTCAGCCTGGGCAACAAGAGCGAAAACTCTGTCTCAAAAAACAAACAAACAGAAAACAATCTCTGAGATGGAAAACATATAATGTCTGTTCAGAATTAACAGATTAGACACAGCAGAAGAAAAGATTAATGCAGTTGAAGACACAGCAATAGCACAATGCAAAATGAAACACACAGAGAAAAAAACTAGACTGAACAAAATAAATTGTTGATAGTATACAAAGTGGCCTAATATATATGTACCAGAGTCCTAGAAGAGAGAGAGAGGTAAACAGAAAAATTTTTTTTGAAGAAATAATGGGCCGGGCATGGTGGCTCACACCTGTAATCTCAGCACTTCAAGAGGCCAAGGCGGGTGATCACTTGAGGTCAGGAGTTCCGGACCACCCTGGCCAACACGGTGAAACCCCATCTCTATTAAAAATACAAAATATTAGCCCAGCGTGGTGACGGACACCTGTAATCCCAGCTACTCAGGAGGCTGAGGCAGGAGAATTGCTTGAACCCAGGAGGCGGAGGTTGCAGTGAGCCGAAACTACGCCATTGCAATCCACCCTGGGCAACAAGAGTGAAACTCTGCCAAAAAATAAAATAAAATAATAGATGAAAATTTTCCAGATTTGATGAAAATTATAAACCCACAGATCTGAGAAGCTCAATGAACCCCTATACAAAATAAACATGAAGAAAACTATACAAGGCAGGGTGCAGTAGCTCATGTCTGTAATCACAGCACTTTTGGAAGCCAAGCAGATGGATCACCTGAGGTCTGGAGTTCAAGACCAGCCTGGCCAACATAGTGAAACCCTGTCTTTACAAATAAACACAAAAATTAGATGGGCGTGGTGGTACACACCTGTAATCCCAGCTACTCGAGAGGCTGAGGCATCGAGGCATGAAAATTGCTTGAGCTAGGGAGGTGGAGGCTGCACTGAGCCAAAATCATGCCATTGCACTCCAGCGTGGGTGATACAGTGAGACTCTGCCTCAAAAAAAAAAAAAAAAAAAAAAGACCTTACACAAACCACATCATAATCAAATTGATTACAGTAATAATAATAAAAAAATTTAAAGTAGAAAAAACAGATACATTACATACAGAGGAAAAAGATAAGAATGAATGCAGAGTTCTTGTCAGAAGTAGGGCAAGCCAGAGGTAAAAAGTGTCAGAGCATAATACAATATTTAGCCAAAATATGTGTCAAAAAACAAAAGCAAAATACTTTTTCAGACATACAAATGCTAACCAAATTCACCAGAAGACCACCACTACACTAAGTATGAGGACAAAGTAAGAACATTTCCAACAAATCTTGGAAAGTTTATCTCCAAAAGAATTACCAGAAGAATTCTCCAGCATGAAAAAAACTAAACTCAGGGGGAGGAATAGTAAGACATAAAGAATAATGTTGAGAAAAGAAATTGGTAAATTTTGGTAAGTCTACTCTTCTAAGAATATTTTAAGTAAAAATTTGTAACCAAAATTCCAGCTGCTACATAGGTGATATGGGCAAAGGAAAAGACTGATAGTTAGTTCTTATCTACTATATAGGGGAAAGATACAAATACAGATTAATTCTGACGGAGAAAAACGAACTGAAGTATCTGTGTTAACAATATAAGGGCAACAATAGGGGTAACCATTAAAGAATTTAACTATGTATCTATGACACTGTTTCAAAGAAAAAATATACTATATTGAACTACATTAGCTCACAAAAATACCACTTACGAACTTACAACAGATATGTAATATGTCTAATTAAAATATATTACCATCTAATTAACCTATTTCCTATATGAGTGTGATGCTTCGTGGGGTGCTGAGCTGACAGAAATAATCATCAGTTGCTCTGCAAACAAAATGTTAAAAGGCATTTGTGCACCCTCTCCAAGTCAAAACTATAAAGAATTTTAGCTATCTCAAATCCTGTGAAACACGAAAGGAAAAAAAGAGTTTCAATGACTGAAATGATTATCTAAAAACTTAATATTTTCTTGGATACATGACTTAATGTAGTTAATTGACATAACTGGAGACTTTAATTCTATTTCTAATTTGCTTTTGAGAAAATGCATAGTTTACATATATACTTACCCAAATACTTATTTCCCATTTTTCTTCTAAAAGTCTTAAAAGTATGCAAAACCAAAAGAATATTGAGGGAAAAAAAACACACAGCAATCTAAGAATTTATTTCTTTCATAAGAATATCTGGGTTGCTATACCCACTTTTACTCTTTTAAAACAAGGATATGGGGATGAAATTACTCCCAATTAACCAAAGCAACAACAGAATTCCACCCTGGTATAAAAGATAGTAGAAGAGAAGGTAAATGAGTTACGATATCACAATTTTATACTCTGCAAATGACTTCTGAGTGTCTTTACTGCCTCTTATTATGCCCAGATTGTTAGATTATCACTCTTTTTACTTACACTTACCTTATTTCAGATCTTCACTTGGGATACTAACACATTCAAAATCTCAGAAACAAACAAACAAACAAACAAAAATCATACCATATGTCCTTCGGCTCGAGCTTTATTCTGCATAGCTTCTCGTTTTCGCTGCAGGAACTCTTCTACTTGTTTAGCTCTTTCTGCAGCTAGCTGCCCTTTTTGCCTAATTTGGACAAATCACAAAGTCAGCCATCCTGAACATAAAATATTCTAGAAAGTTAAAAATTACATTTATCCCCAATATTTTTTTCCCATTTCAGAATATGAAGGTGGATGAAATAAACACTTTCTCTGTGATGAAGAAATCACTACATCTATATGAACATCTACGACCTAAATCACATTCTTTATTATTTTAAACACAAGTAAAATCTATAATTCTACTCTGAATCTTCATGAGATGGTTTCTTTTACATTTATGTGATCTATTCTACTTATTTAAACATATAAAGTTATTTTAGACTACACTTAATTATAGAAGAATCTGAGAGGTTTCCCGGTTTATTTCAGAACTCTGTATCAAATATAATAAGAATCTCAGTAGCCAAGTCAAATAAAAGCAGTATAGCAGCAATTTAAAAAATGAACAAAAGGAACAAAAGCTTTACCTAAGTGTGAATTTTCAAAAATACAGTAAAAAGCTATGTTTGAATTCCCTGAATATCACAACTATAAAAAAAGTAAAATTGATAGGTTAGGGAAAAGATTAAAAACAGAGTTATTTGTTTTAATCCTGTCCTATTTTACTTTTATGTCTTTCTCTGACAATTATGCAAGAATGCAAACACGCTGATCTTAGATGACAAATAAAAGGTACAAATAACAAACACTGATTAAGCATCTACTATATATTGTGTTAGATACCATGCTAAGTATGGAAGATACAAAGATAAATAAAACCTAGCCCCAATAATCAGAGAACTCATACCATGCCATCAATTGCAGTTAATTTTGGAGGTGAAGAATAAAGATGAGCAAGTTGTTGGCTCTGCTTCTACCTGTATTTTGGCCAGTAAGGCACACAAACTTCCTAAACAGGCTTTCTTTGGGACCATAACTAAATCATGTCCTGCAAATTACATGAACTAAATCTCAGTCTCCTAGTAAGATTTAAGCATTTCTGATATTCATATACCAAATAACTGCTTCTTTTACATTTTTTGGCAATGACTACTAACTGAAACATAAAAATATTTTAAATATAAAATTAAGCTGTAAAACGTAAACATCTATTCCATAACTATGAATGACAGTGATCGAAGGTTCATTTACCTCATGTAGTACTTAAAAAAAAGATTCTTATGAAATTTCCATCATAGGAATTTTCTAGAATTAGATAATCTGTAGCTGGTTTAAAGGCCTATTACTATTGCTCTCAGATGCATCTGGATAGCTAAATCTTAATGTAGTTTCACATCACTAAATTCAGAAATGCACTTCACACATGCAATGTTGGCTTGAGTAGATGAACACAATGAATGATAAATTTGTTCATGCCTCTGTAGTGTAGCTGTGCTGTCCTCTAGCAGTCCCATTACCCACTGGAAAATTCTGAGATTAATAAGGTATATCTGTTCTGAATGCAATTTACGTCCTATAGGTATCAAAGTAAGGCTATATCCTGGTTTGCTATAGCCCATTTATATAAGGCTGGGACTGAGGAAGACAGATGAACCTTCAAATGTGATGTTCTGACATGAGATTAATAAGGTATATCTGGTCAGAATGCAACTTATTTCCTGTGTGTATCAAAGTAGGACTGTACCCTGTTCTGCCACAGCCCCATCTATGTAAGGCTGAGCTTGAGGAAGGCAGACAAACCTTCAGGTGTAATGCACTGACATAAGATTAATAAGGTATATCTGGTTGGAATGCACCTTACTGCCTGCATTTATCAAGGTAAGGCTGTATTCTGCTTTGCTATAGTCCCACCTACGTAAGGCTAGGCCTGAGGAAGACAGATAAACCTTCAGGTATGATGCTTAGACATGTTATTTGAAACTCTATGGTTACTGACAAGGCTCTTTTGGGGGGTCCTGGAAGCTTAAACCACCATCTGCAATCAGACAAGACAGCTGATCTCTCTGCTGTGTATCCTGATTGTATTAACTTCCTTCTCCTTTACAAAAGTAAAGCATGTTTGACTTCCCATCTTAAGACACTTTCTGTGTCCAGTGATTGTTAGCCTGAACTTCCAATTGGCATATGTTAAACAGTGGTTGCACAGAATTATTTTACTAGGAACCTGGTCATATGTAACACAGCTTTCATTTATAGATTTTCATACCATTTATGCATATATAATACTACTTGCTCTATGTATTTATCTGATTTATAAATTTTGTTTAATTGAACAGTCACTTCCTAAGCTGCCTGAAATAAGCAGGTTTACATTACCAGCTGCTTTCAAATACAAACTTAGTAACTGTAGTGATTTTGTTTAACACTATTTCTTTTTTCCTCTCATTTGTCAAACAAATATTGAATATCAACTATTTGCCAAATTATATGTCAAAAGATATAAAGATGAATAAAACAGAGTTCCAGGGAGGCAAGGTTGGTTTAACATATGAAAATCAGAGTGACACATGTTAATAGAATGAAGGACAAAATTTAATTAATTTTATGACTCCTTAGACTGTTTAAAAACTTAGAAACTCTGTGTCCATTTTTCATATGCATTATTGTTTACTACTTCATATACATCAAAAATAGCCCATAACTCATATGATTAGTTATCTCTAAAGTAGTACAACTGTACTAAACTATGGGCATAAACTGTATGTTTGTGCTGGGATCATGGGGATAAGGATTAAACAGTCAATTTACTTCCTGATAGTAATCTTCTTCATTAAACACTATTAAGAATTCATGTGAGCATGCTCCGTTTTACAAAAATTAGAGCACTTCTTTTGAGTTCCAGAATTATACTGCTTAAAATCAGTAAAACAATGACCTGGATTAATGATAAGGGGATGATATAAATGCAAATATAGTAAGAAATCAGGAATTGGATAGGAAACACAAAGACATTAAAACGGACTAAAGGTATAACGTACAAGGATAAGGGGCATCAAACAATGAGATAACAGAAGTATAGTGTTCTTTTGTCAAGAAATAATCACTGTGGCCAGGCACAGTGGCTCACGCCTGTAATCCCAGCACTTTGGGAGGCTGAGGCGGGTGGATCACCAGATCAGGAGTTTGAGACTAGCCTGGCCAATATGGTGAAACCCTGTCTCTACTAAAAATACAAAAATAGCTGGGCATGGTGGCACGCACCTGTAGTCCCAGCTACTCTGGAGGCTGAGGCAGAAGAATTGCTTGAACCCAGGAGGTGGAGGTTGCAGAGAGCAGAGATCGCACCAATGACTCCAGCCTGGGTGACAGAGCAAGACTCCGTCTCAAAAAAAAAAAATTATTCTAAGACAAACTTTCCTTTTTTAACCCTGACAGGAGAAGGGGAGGAAAAGGGAGTAAGTTATTTTCTTTCCTTTTTTTTATTTTAAATGCATGAAAAAGCAACAAGATTTGGCTGGGAACTTCATGTCTCATATCCATGGTTCAAATTCTTTACTGATAAAGAAAACTTAAAACTTTTGAAGGATAATTATAAATGGAATATTTTAGGAGTTGAAGATAACATAAACGTAAGTAGCACTCTAGGTAACAGATAATCTGAGAGATAAAAATGAGTAATATGGTATTAGGCAGAAGAGTTGGGGTGGTAAAGAATTATTGAAATGAAAAAATGATGTAGAAGGGTTTGTTCATTTAGCCTCCTCTTAAGGGGCATACTGTCTATGTAATGGAATGAAATTGTTGTTAGCTTTATCCAAATTAAATGAAGCAATACAGACAAAGTGACTTGGGAAAAGTACGAGCACCTTGAAAACATAAATGTTAGGAGGCACTCCATAATTTTTAAAAAGTGCCTTCAGCCATTTGAACCATACATGACTGGAGCTGCTAATATTAAAAAGCCTAATAGAGAGGTATGTTATTAAGGCACTGGATATAAGCAAAGTCAGACTGGTCAGAGTTGCTGATAAGAAAGGAAGAGGTGGCTCACGCCTGTAATCCCAGCACTTTGGGAGGCTGAGGCAGGTGGATCAACTGAGGTTGGGAGTTCAAACCAGCCAGATCAACACGGAGAAACCCTGTCTCTACTAAAAATACAAAATTAGCCAGGTGTGGTGGTGCATGCCTGTAATCCCAGCTACTCAGGAGGCTGAGGCAGGAGAATTGCTTGAACCCAGGAGGTTGCAGTGAGCTGAGATTGCGCTACTGCACTCCAGCCTGGTCAACAAGAGCGTGAAACTCTATCCCCCCCCCCCCCCCCCCCCACAAAAAAAAAAGAAAGAAAGAGGAAGAAGAAAAATAAATAATATCATAAAGAAGAAACAGGCAAATATGGGTGATTATGAAGAAAAGCAAATCTGTAAAGAGTCTTAGATGACTACAGATTTCAGTCTGCTGATTCAGTTTGAATCAAATAAAGGAACTAACCAAGAATGACAATGACATACAAATTATAAAAACCAAAAATTGTGACAGAGAAAATCTTCTATAATGCTAGTGACCACTAAACAGTACCAGACAAAAGAATCATTCAGATGGGAAGAGATCTTGGGTATTTAGTCCAAGTCATTGAATAAAGTATTCTCATATTTCCATCTAAATACCCCATGACACACTGTCATTTAAACCTCTGGTTAATACTTCCAGTTTGAAGATATTCATTAAATCCCATGATGATCCAACCTTTGAACAGCCCTCATATTGGACTGAAAAGTGTCTTTATATTTCCAGCTTGTGTCTAGTTCCTCCTCCACATGACAAGTCACCCAACTATCCTATTGTGTAAACAGTGCAGAATTACAGTGAAAGTTCATTTCCTATACTACTTTGCTTTTCAACTTTATATTTAAAAAGTTCTTTAGCTCCTAAAAAGTTAATACTGGCCAGGGGGCAATAAAACAGGCATTATCATATACCTGTTAGGTTGAGTATAAACTGGCATTTTTCTAGAAAAACTTAGTAATATTTCTTCCTAGAATCTTCATCAGGAACATAGATGACCAAATCCTTTAGCAAAATAATTGCCCTTATGAGATTCTATTTGAAGAATAAAATGTGGCAGAAAATGTTCAAAAACGTGAAGGATTACAAAGAACTTGTTATATTAGGGGATTTGTTAAATAAATCAGCACATTCAGGCACTGGAATCTTATGCATATATTAAAAAATTGAAAACAATTTTTAAGATGAGAAAAGTACATGATAACACTAAATTGTAAAAGATACCAATTTGTATGTAAGACTTGATTTTCACTAAGTGAAAAGGAAAAAAGTATGCAAGAAAATTAACCAAAGTCTTCACCAGTGACTTGCCTCGGTAGGGATTTGGAATTATTTTCTTTCCTGTTTCCTAACACCTTCCTCCTCTATGTTCCAATTTTTCTAAAACTAACCTACATCACTTAGCAATCAGAAAAACAATTTTTTAAAAAGTGCCTCTTGTGATTTTCCTTCAGGTTTTCTTTTTTACTGAGCAAAAAGGAGAGAAACAGTTGACTAAGAACCCGATATGAAAGGACAATAATAAGATAGTTAGCTGCTGGTATTTTTAAAACAGAAATTCTTGAATTCAGCAAAAGAAAGAATATTTAAAAAGAATCTGAGAATGAGAGGAAGGAAAAAAAAGATTAAATGCCTTTCAGTCAAGCAAACACTGAAGAAGAAAGGCAACAGTTAAATTTGGAGTAGAGACAGTTGCTGTTCCACGTCAGTGAAAAGGTTACAGTGTGTATCTAAGACAATGAGTATTAAGAAAGAGATCACGAGAACATTATACACATAGTAATTAAATCATTTCCTTACAAGTGATTGCCAGCTATGAAAGAAAAGGGCATTTTTATTCTTATAGCAAAATATAATAAAACATAGCTGGTTCAACATCTGAAAATCAGTTAATATAATCCATCATATCAATAAGGTAAAGAAGAAAAATCATATGATCCATCGATACAGGCAAAAAAACCCCAAAGGCATTTGACAAAATCCAACACCCATTTCTGATTTTAAAAAATCTCAGAAAACTTAGAGAAAAACTTCCAAGATTTCATAAAGAACATCTACAAAAAATCTACAGCTAACATTATATTTAATGGAAACTTGAAGCTTTCTGGCTAAGACTGGGAACAAGACAAAGATGTCCTTTCTGAGCACTACTTTTCAACATCATATTGGAAGTTCTAACTAATGCAATAAGACGAGGAAAGAAAACAGGTGTACAGACCAGAAAAGAAGAAATATAACTGTCTTTGTTTGCAGATGACATGATTGTCTACGTAGAAAATTCAAAAGAATTGCCAAAAATACCCCTCCTAGAAAAAGTGATTATAGCACAGTTGCAGGATAGGTTACTAAACAAAAGTCAATTGCTTTCCTATGTATAAGCAATGAATAAGCAGAATTTGAAATTAAAAACACATTATCACTTACATTAGCACTCCCCAAAAAGTAACATATAGCTACAAATCTAAAAATATGCACAGATATGAGGAAAACTACAAAACTCTGATGAAAAATATCAAAGAACTAAATAAATGGAGAGATATTTCAGGTCTAATAGGAAGTATTGGAAGATCAAATATTGTCAAGATGTTAGTTCTTCCCAAGCTGACCTACAGATTCAACACAATCCCAATCAAAATCCTAGCACGTTAGTCTGTAGATATGGACAAACTGATTCTAGAGCTTATGTGGAAAGACCAAAGAACCAGAATAGCCAACTCAGTATTGAAGAACAAAGCTGGAGGACTGAAACTACCCGATTTCAAGACTTAATATAAAGTTACTATAACCAAAACAGTGTGGTACTGGTTAAAGAACAGACAAATGAATCAGTAGAACAGAGAGCACAGAAATAGACCAACATAAAAATCCCTTGTCAACCGATCACTGACAAAGGAGCAAAGGCAATTCCAAGGAGAAAATATAGTCTTTTCAAGAGATGTGTAACAACTGGGCATCCACATGCAAAAAAATGAATCTAGACACAGACCTTACATCTTTCAGAAAAATTAACTCAAATAGATCACAGACGCAAAGACAAAACATGAAACTATAAAACTCCTAGGAGAAAACCCAAATGAACTTGTATACGGTGATAACTTTTCAGGTGTAACACCAGAGACACAATCCATGAAAGAAAGAACTGACATGCCAGACTTCATTAATAATAAAAAAAAAATTCTGCTCTGCAAAAGAGAATATTAAGGGAATGGAAAGATAAGCCACAAAGAAAAAGAAAAGATCTGCAAAAGACATACCTGATAAAAGACTGTTATATGAAATATACAAAGAACTTTCAAAACCCAACAGTATAAAAATGAATTTAAAAATGGGCAAAAGGCCTGAACAGACAACTCATCAAGAAAGATATACAGATGGCATGAGACATATGAAAAAATGTTCAATATGTCATTAGGGAATTGTAATTAAAACGAGATACCACTACACACTGATTAAAATGGCCAAAATCTAAAACACTGGCAACACTAAATGCTGGAGAGGATGTGGAGCAATAGGGATTCTCAATCACTGCTGGCAAGAATGTATAATGGTATAGCCACTTTGGAAGACAGTTTGGTGATTTCTTACAAAATCAAACATACTCTTAAGACATGATCCAGCAATCATCCTCTTGGCATCTTTTAAAATACTTAAAAACTTATGTCCACAAAAAAAACCTATACACCAATAGTTGTAGAAGCTTTATTCATAACTGCCATAACTTAAAAGCAACCAAGATATCCTTCAGTAGAATAATGAATAAAGTGTGGTATATCCATTCTAGCTGGGCATGGTGTCTCATGCTTGTAATCCCAGCACTTTCCAAGGCCAATGCAGGAGGACTGCTTGAGCCCAGGAGTTCAAGACCAGCCTGGGCAACATAATAAGACCCCATTTCTACAGAAAAGTAAAAAATCAGCCACGCATGGTGGCAAACACCTGTAGTCCCAGCTGTTCAGGAGGCTGAGGTGAGAGGGCCACTTCAGCACCAGAGGTCAAGGCTGCAGGCAAGCCATGATCATGCCACTGCACTCCAGCCTGGGTGACAGAATAAGAATGTGTCTCCAAAAAAAAAAAAAAAAAAAATTACAAAAAAAATGTAATGTACCGTACATAGATCATAGATCCAATGGGATATCAGTCAGCGTTAAGAAGAAATAAAGCGTGAAACTATGAAGATATACAAAGGTACTTTAAATGCATATTAGTGAGAGAATCCATTGTAAAAGACCACATACTATACGATTCCAAGTATAGATATTCTAGAAAAAGTAAAACTATGAAGGCAGTAAAGCAAACAGTGGTTGCCATGAGCTGGGGTGGAGGTTGGAGGGAGGTGGAGCACAGGGGATTTTTAAGGGAGTGACATTATTTTGAATGATAATACACTGGTGGATATTCATAATTATACATTTGTCAAAAGCCATCGAATGTATAATACCAAGAGTAAACGCGAATGTAAACTATGGACTCTGTGTGATAATGGATCAATGTTTGATTGTAACAAACATTATCACTCAGATGAGGATGTCGATACAAAGGTTATGATGTGTGAGGAGGGGGTAATGGGAACTCTGCACTTTCCTCTCCATTTTTCTGTGACCGCAAAATCACTCTAAAAATAAAGATTTCTAATTAAAAAAATATATATACCAGAAAGATAAATAATTCTGGAGAATAAAAGCCTTCACAAAATTTGTCTCACCATTCATCAAAAATGTGCATATGTGTACGTCTATAACCTTCCTTTCTCAAAAAACATAAGCTTCATAGCTCAGGTTTCTGTATACAATTTGTAATGTGTATATAAATGTTAACTTACATTTACCTTAATTATCTCTGCTCAAGTACATATTAATCATCTTTTATAATGGAGGGAGGGAATCAAAGATTTTTATAACAACTGACAGTATTCTCCTTAACATCAATATAAGGAAAAGACAATGTGATTAAATTTTCACAAAATGTTATCTGTTCTTCACCAAAATATTTTATAGAAGAAACAGGAATGTCAAAGAAAACACATATACATACTTAAGAAAAAAAGAACTATGCAAGTTACAGTCACTGACAGTTAGCATTATTAAATGGAAGAAAAATATTAATGATTAATAAAAGAAATATTAATTCAATGGAAGAAAAGAATATGACGAATAGGATCACAGTTATAAATCAGAGGTGAATGTGAACAGAAAGCATGCTAAGACAACAAAGAGAAAAGCAGGCTCTGAAGTGACAGAGAAAAGGAAGACAACAATGCACTGGGGCTCTGCATCAACTGTGGTTCCATTTAGATTTAGATTAAATCCTGATTTATTTAAAGCAAGTTGGTGATGAAACATTATAATTATGTTGGCACAAAATTATCACACATTTCTTTAAATAGTATATTTAGTCTAAACACACAAATAAGACACAAAAATCAGGCTAAACTGGAGAGCTAGGTGCTTTCCACAATGTAATCAAGGGCCAAATTTGCACCTGAGAAAATTACTGTACCCAAGAGGCAAAAAAATATCATATGTGAACAATGGAGAAAACATCCACAAAGTGTAGATACTAGGCTATATATGACAAACAACAAAATTACACACAAGGATGAATTCATGGATCATCACAGTCCAACCTGTTTGCATTGGCTTGTTTAGACACCGCCTTCAATCTTTTCAAAGTTTTTCTAATATCAGCATCAGGGAAATGGTGATGACCTGCAGCCCCATAAGGAAATCCTGGACGAACTCCAGGCAGAATTCCTCTGTAGATAAATACGCACAGTGACTTTCATTACTATCTCAGAAGCAAAGCATAAGCAACTTCTGCAGAACATAGCCATACCTTTCGGGAAGAGCTCGAGCATATATTTCTCTTTTCCATTTAGCTTCATTATCTTCTGCTCTTTGTTGCTGCATTTGATCAAAAATGGCATGGTAATGTTCATACTGTCCTCGAGAAGAAAAAGTTGATGGGGCTATAGTCCCTCCACTGCCAAAAAAAGGAGCCTAGGAATTAAACAAAGAGCTCTCACGTGTTTATCTCATAAGGCCTTACAGGCCTGCACTAATCTCAAAAGAAAGAGTAAATTTCAATGCTTGACTTTAAAAAAGTAATTACTTAATATGAACATACTAAGAAATCTAAAGCCTAAAGCAAAATATTTTCCTATTATAACTATTAACAACCAAAAAGTATTGTAACTGACAATAAAGCATAATTTAATGTGACAAACAGAAACAGCAAAATGTCACTGATTTCATGTAAATATGGAAAAATCTGGTCTTAAGATTTGAAACAAGCTTCCAATATCCATTTCATGTAATTCTGTTCCATTAAGTTTACGTACAGCTTACAAGTAAAGGAGAGCCTGCTTTTATATAACACTCAGAATTATATTGAACAAAAACATCTGCATATGGCTTTTAATATACCCCAAATCCTTAAATTCACCAACCAGATATGAAGGTCTAAACATTATTAAAACATGTTCTATATGTCTATAAAAGAGGCAAAAAGTCATATCTATCTTTAGTTTCCAAATAAGTTGGGAAAAACAGCCCAAAATTAGAAAAACTTTCAAAGAAAAAAAAAAGGCCGGGCGCGGTGGCTCACGCCCATAATCCAAGCACTTTGGAGGCCAAGGCAGGTGGATCACCTGAGGTCGGGAGTTCAAGATCAGCCTGACCAACATGGTGAAACCCCATCTTAAAAAAAAAAAAAAAAAGAAAGAAAGAAAGGAAAAAAGAAAAACTTTTAATTCTGCGGTGAACAAGTGACAACAGAGAGATTCCAAAGTAGTAAGTAATGAGCAAATTCACAAAATAGTAAAAAAAAAAAAAAAAAAAAAAAATCAACAGTAAAATCTTTATTTAGAAAAAAGGCCTTGTGGAAAGATACTGTTTAATCTGGTCTCAATAGCAATGTAAGGAGAGTAAATATGAGCCAAGGCATGAAAGTAAAAATAAGCCATATAAGTATATACTTAGGTATGGAAGGTGGAGGAGAAAAGAAGTATGATTACAAACAGAAGGAAGGGAAATAAGGAATATCAAGTTTGGCTATAAACGCTTGGTATAGGTAAATGCTATCAGCCTTGGGTGTTTGTGTTCAAATAATAAATAACAATAGAAAGCATTTAAAAAGTTTCTAGCAGCAGTAGCATATCGAAAGAGTTTGAAAGGTCAATAAGTCAATATTATGCATGGTAAGCAGAAATAAGAAAGTAAGGCAGAGGAATTAATTAGAAGGATGTTGCTGCCCTGACACCAAGCCAAGAAGCCTAGAAGTAAAGAAAGCCAGTCAATGAAAACTACATGCTGAAGGAAGTGTGGATTCTCTGTAGGAGCGACAAAGAATAAAGCCAAAGACTTAAAGACTCAACCACAGAGACATAAGAACTCATCCACATGGAAAACTCACAGCAAAAAAAAATAGAGATGCCAGAAAAGGATAAGAGTAAAATTAAATAAAAACTATAATGCTACGGAAGTCACGGTGGAAGAATTTCACTGAGAAAAGGAAATCAGTAACTTCAAATGCAAAGGTCAACTTATTTGAACTTTATCTGAGAATAAGACCACCAGATATGACTAAGGCTGAGTGGATGGATGCCTTTAAAAAACCATTTTGTGAGAGTGTGAAGTGATGAGAACAGAAGCCACAATACTGAGAGTGAAAAATGGGAAACTTCCAGGTGCTAACATCTTAAGGAAAATGTCTGGTTAAAAAAAGAAACAAAGGCCAGGCGCGGGTGGCACATGCCTGTAATCTCAGCACTCTGGGAGGCCAAGGTGGGTGGACTGCTTGAGCTCAGGAGTTCGAGACTAGCCTGGGCGACTTGGCAAAACTCCATCCCAACAAATACAAAAAATTAGCTGGGCACAGTGGCATGTGTCTGTAGTCCCAGCTACTCAGGAGGCCGAGATGGGAAGATCATCTGAGCTCAGGAGGTCAAGACTACAGAGAGCTGTGATTCCACCAATGGGTGACAGAGTGAGATCCTGTCTCAAAATAATAATAAAAGAAACAAAGAAAAATATCAGAATCCAATAAAAGAAACTTCAGTGTAACCCAGTAAGATAAAAGTTGTTTTAATATTTTATAAGCTGCACACTATTTTATAAGCAAGCATGATTAAAAAGCAATCAGTACATGATAAATATAATTGATTAAAGATGTTCAAATAACAAGTGATGAAAACTGCTAGAACAGAAAACTCCAAGGTGGTCCTTACATACATCCTCAAAATGTACATCTGAAGTCAAGAATCAGAATTCTGTTATAAAGTGGTCAGATTTCCTGCAAAACTGGTTAATTTTTGAGTTTAGTCCAATGCCAGGATCACCTTAATTTGACTGAGTGTTCCATTTCTTTTTAGCAAAAACAAAGGCATGTAGACATCTCAGAAGATGCTCATACTCAAAATAATGTCAAAAATACTATATTAGAATGCTGATGCAATATGTTTGAGACATAATTTATATACGATAAAAATTCACCAATTATAAGCAAGGGTTGATGAATTCTGACAAATGTATGCACTCACATAACCACTACCACAAGCAAAAGCATATCCATTACCCTAGAAAGTTCCCTGTATTCCTTTGCAGTAAATGATCCCACTGCCAGCAACCACTAATCTACTTTCTGTCACTACAGGTTGGATTCACCTCTCCTATAATATCATATAAATGAAATAATAAATAAGTACTCTTTTATCTGGTCTCTTTTACTCATAAGTTTTTAAGACAGATCCATGCTGCTGCATGTATAAACAGGCGATTCTTTTACTGCCGAATGGTATTCCAATAGCTTTTCAAACAAAAGATACACTTCCTCCATATTATGATCACCATAAATGTGGACTACATCATTTTTCTTAAAACACATTCATAAAAGACACATTAAAAGTAGATAAAACAAAGAAGTTCCAGATTTTGCAGATACTAAATAATCAAAAACATTTATATTGGATATTTATACTGTGAATAATAATGACTCTTATTTAGAAGTATGTAATAATAGTATTAGTTTTAAAATACTTCCTTTAGTTTTAGTTTTGCTTTGTCTTTATTTTGGTGATCTCCTTAATTTTATTCTTGTAATATTGAGCCTCCAGGTCCTTATCAACTATGTAGAAATCAAACAGCCTAACAAGTTAAAATATTTCAAACTCAATGAGGAATATAGAAACCAAGAATTTCCTTTAAATCATGGAAAATAAATTGTTTTATTAATCCTCAATGAAAGCATTACAGAAGTTTATAAAGTGACACAAATCTATTCAGCACACATTATCTAACTATTGAAAATTGTCTCAGTTATCAAACAACATTAATAAAACTGACTAATGCTATATTAGACATCACAGGAAAAAGCATTTTATTACACAAAAGGTATGTACAATGGGAGAAGAAAAAAAATCATCAAAACTTCAATGCTAATCATGGACTTGATTAAAAAAATGCTTGAAGGCCTACAATGTGGTAAGCTTGCTTTTTCCAATCAGATAAGATATGAGGTTAGTTATTTTAGGATGGACCACATTCTGAGTCATTCCTGACCATTCAGGAGGCAGTAAGTTAAAATTATATTACTAAAAACACTGTATAATCTATATTAACACAAATTTGGAAAACGTTACTCTAATGAATTATTAATTTGATGTGAAAAACTTCTGCGTCTCAAGAGACTAAAAAATAAATCTGTAAATCCAGGATAGAATGTGTATGTCCAGATAAAACAAAGCAAACTTTTATTCAAATTATAACTTTCGGGGAAAAAACAAGAACTGTAATCGATCCAATTTGTCAAGTATCTATTGTACATCTAAATATCAGGATTAATGGGTATAGATGGTTGAAACTTATAAAGATGTATTAACTTAGTTTATTCAGTGACGCAAATTATTCATTCATCTTCTATTGCTGTATAGTAAATTATCACAAATCTAACAGCTTAAAACAATACCTATTTAGAATCTCAGTTCCCCTGGCTCAGGAGTCTGGGTGCATTTGGCTGAGTCCCCTCCTCAGGATCCTACCAGGCAGAAACCAAGGTGTCAGCCAGGGCTACAATCCTCAACTGAGACTCGGGATCTCTTCCAAGTTAACTGGTTCTTGGCAGAATTAATTTCTTTGCAGCTATATGACTAGGACTACAATTTTCTTGCTAGTTGCCCATCAGAGACCACCACTTGTAGAGGTCATCTCTACTATTTTGCCATGAGCATGTTTACCATCTTCCAGGCGAGCAGAATTATATCTCTCTAATTTCTTTTCCCCTTCTAGCCTGCTATGAAGGAGTGTTGTCCGTTAATGTAATCCTGGGAGGGACCATCCATCACCACTTGCCATATAACAAAACCTAATCAAGTGAGCTGCTACACCACAATATTTACAGGTACCACTAACACTCAAGGGAATGGAATACTACAGGGTGTGTATACTGGGGGTCAAGAATCCCGGAGACCATCTTAGAATTCTAACTACTAGAGATGGAGATATGTGTAGGATGCTGTATGAGCAAAAGAGGAAGTATAAGATTCAGACTGGCAGAACAAAGAAAGGAAAGGGAAATTACTATAGAAGCCCTTGCCAGACAAGTTCCAGGCACTATTCTCAGAAAAAACCTTTTTTTTTTAAATCAAGTAGCCAAAGTTCAGGAAAGTTAAGTAATGTGCCCAAGGTTATGCAATGTGGCTCTACCCAGAGGGAATGTTTGGATTAACTTATCTAGGTATGTGGTTATTTACGTAAATGGATGGAGGTGAGGGGTAAGGGTGAGGAGGGATGGAGGAGTGCCATTAAGTAAAGGGAAACACAAGTGCAAAGACAAAGAGATTCAGCAGACTATACACCGTAATGAAACTACAAACATGATCTTCATTTCAGCATGAACAGAGCATGAAGTGTGTGGCAGGGAATGGATGGAGATGAAGCTGGAGAGACAGCAGGGATCAGATTAAGAAATGTCTTCTGAGAACTTCATCTTTAAGGCTACACGAAATTAAGGAAGGATTTTAGGATGCAGCGTCACAAATTGTGTATAATTTTTAAAAATTCCTGACTGGAATATTATCATCACAGTCTTCACAAAAAAACTTTTAAAGCAATTTTAAGTGTAGTCACATAACAGTTATCAATACTATTGATAAGTTAGTTATCAATACTATTGATAAAGTTACATATCAGATACATGCAGGAAAGCTAAGAACTCATAATAAATGCTGAAGAATTCTAGGTAAAAATTAACTGTACACTATAGTAAGAAAGAAAATCCCAGGTACACGCATTTTAAAGCACAAGGTGAAACTGGAGAGAAAAACAGTAGGATAACCATATTGGTATAAAATGCCTACCTTGACTTCACCACTTCCACCAGCACTTAGTACATTTCTCCATCCTTGTTCCCTGGCCCTATTTATTCTCTCCAACTTTGGGGAAAAGAAATATACAAAACACCATTTCAAGTACTTAATAAAAAATACATGTGATACATTTAGCAATAAACTAAAAATCAGTACATTCTTTAAGAAAAAATTGTATTTAATAGATTAGCCTCTTACCTTTTCCTTTTCTTGCCTTTTCATTTGTTCAGCCTTCATTAAACTAATAATCTGTAACAATTTTAAAGACAAACTTCTTACAACTCTTGGACCTATTATCGCTTACACCTTGCCAAAGGTAGAAAAACAAGAGCAAAAAACTACCTGATCTTTTTGTTTCTTTTCTTTTTCAATACAATCCAGCCTTCTCTTTCTTGCTGCTTCCTTAAATAAAAAAAGAACATTTTTATCAATAATAATTCCTACTTTTTCTAGTTTCATTAGGAAAGTTAGTATACCAATGACAGAGGTATGTTCAGTGAGGTTTTTTAAAAAAAGAAGTTACAAGTATTTGAAAGAAATAAGGAGAGGTTTGGAGGCTTTATAGTAAGATTTTGTTTCTTTTTAGAAATTATTTTTGCAAAGCTTTAAAATAACCAGACAGATGCCTTTATACCTCAGACATTTTCCTCCTTTCTTCTCCAGTATTCACTCTCTTCTCTGGAGTTTGATGGGCCTGGACAAAAAGTAAAACTACAAATTAAATAAAGATTTTGAGGCACTTATTTGAGAATCCCAAATTAACAGAAATTTAAAACAAGAAAAAGGTAAAGCCCATACTTCCATAACTCTCTCCCAAATTACATTATCTTTAAAAACAGAAAACACTGTAGTCTGACATGCTGTCTGTTAAACAAACAGAAACATTAGATTAAAAGAAACTGTGGAAAAGGGTCCTTACCCAATGATCAACTAAACAGTTGTATGTTCAGATATGCATGTTAACTTTAAGTTTTCTAATATTATGATAGAATAGCATTTCAAAAGCCCATGATAATTTTTTTAAAAAATTACACTATATATATTCAGTATATAAAATTCAAACAAGATAAAAAATTTATGGTCTATTTTGCTCCCACCTCCAAAGGTAATGACTGTTAATACTTTCATTAGTGCCTTTTAGACATTATTTTATGTATTTAGATACATATACAGTTCAAGTATATAGAGAATAATTTTAACTGATTTTTACATACATGTAATATTAAGGTGTTACTAGATGGAAAAATGACTTTAATTTTTAAAATTTCAATAGCTTTAGGGGTTCAAGTGGTTTTTGGTTACATGGATGAAATGCAAAATGGTGTATATTAGATATTTACATTTCTTTTATATACTGTTTATCTAACTTTGGGGTTGTTAATGGAATCATAAAATATATATTCTTTGGTATCCTGCTTTGCTCAACATTGTTTTCAAGATTCATTTATGTTATTATTTGTATCTACATCTGTTTTCTTCATGAATATATAGCATTCTATTAATTTTGATTCCTTTCTTCCACAATTATCTTATACTTTACTCATTAGGTCTATTCTAAAGTATCCGGGGGCAGGGGCTTGTGTGGTAGCTCATATCTCTGTAGAACTTTGGGGGCCAAGGCAGGAGGATTGCTTGAGTCTAGGAATTTGAGACCAGCCTGGATAACATAGTGAGTCCCTATCACTACAAAAAAATTTTAAAAATTAGCCAGCCATGTGGCCCACAGCTGTTGTCCCAGCTACCCAGGAGGCCGAGGTGGAAGGATCTCTTGCGCCTAGGAGGTAGAGGTGACAGTGAGCTATGATCACATCACTATACTCCAGCCTAAGTGACAGAGCAAGACCCTGTCTCAAAAAAAAAAAAAAAAAAAAAAAAAGAATAAAAATAAAAAGTATCTGGGGGATTTATGGCTATTTCTTTCCATTTCATTTTCTAATCACTTATTTTTTACATTGGGCTTCCATCAGGCCACTTTATTGAACTAATAGTTTAATGCTGCTTCACCGAGATTTTCTAGGCAGGTAATCACATCAAATATAAATACGATGTCTATGTTTTCTCTTCTCTTCCAATATTTACATTTCTTTCTTTTCAATTGCTCTAGCTAGAAGCTCTGGCACAATTAAACAATGGCAATGGCAGCAAATCCCTCTGTCTTGTTTCTAACTTTAACGATAATGCTTCCAATGTTTCATCATTATGTATAAAGCCTACCATAGGTTTCAGGTGTGTACACATACTGTATTAAGAACTTAACCTTCTGTTTCTTGAATCACACTTTTTAAAACAAAAGTTAGTGTTAAGTTTCACCCAATTTTCAGCATCTACTGAGATGATTTTTATATGATTTTGTTTTCTAACCTGCTAATGTAGTAAAATTACAGTAATCGGTTTTCCACTGTTGAAATGTCCCTGTATTAATGCAATAAATCCTATTTGAGAATTATTACATTATTTTTTGATAAACTGCCTAATTTCCCCTTTTTAAAATCCTTTTTTTTTTTTTTTTTTTTTTTTGGATTTCTGCATCTGTTCTTATAAGTGATCTACAGTTTTGTTTTACCCTGTGTTAGTTGCCCAATTTTGTAATCAAGGTTAAGCCTAATACATGACTGATTTTTCAAACAATTCTAAAGCAATTCTACATGCAAAAATAGGTAAAAATTTATAGAAAATTTTAAGTTATTTATCACCTACCAGTGTTTATATTTTTCAGCCACCTTAGAAAAGGTAATTTTAAAAGAACAGTGTACAATTTTTCACCTACACCGAGTTTCAATGGAAAGGAAAGTAGACACTACTTAAAAAAATTACTTGGGAAAAATATTTTGATGGTCCTTTGGATTATTATCAAAATGGTCTAGAATTTGATTAAGTCATTAAAAGCTGTCTCTACTAACAATTCCATTTTAACAGCAGCTATATTTTATCAAAGTCATTGGTATAAAACATACTGCCCTTTGCTTCAGTTTTCTAAATTATGTAGAATGACCATAACATATGCGCACTAAAATTCTAACCCTGAAAAGAAAATTGAGAATATTACAAAATAAACATGACTCTCACATCATTTTTGAAATAAATGTCTCACATTATATTAAAAACTTAAAAAGGGACACAAAAATTTTGTTTCACTGAAAACAATTCAAAAGGATAACTAATATTTCTGCTTTAGAAAGCAATGATATAAACTGCGTATTTCTTTCAAATGAACAACCTTTTTAATGAAGATATTACTGAGTATGAGCCAGGAATATGCTGATATTTAAAATATGTATTGCCAGGCAATGGCTTAATAAACTTATAAATAAGAATATTTACTGTTTTATAATGTGCTTTGGCATTTTAATTAAATGATCATAAACCAATCAATTTTATTGGTACAATATGTTTTAACTCAAAGCTATAGCAACAATGGGGTAAGTGGTGCTAAATCTCACACCTGATTTCACTCTTATGATGAACTAAATGATGCATTTACTCTCTGACAAAATAACCCAAGTAGTGGGTTCTCAGAACTATCCCACTCCCTCACTGTATTATTAGTTCCTAACTCCTAACCTCTAATTTTGGCTATTTAAATTCAACTCTCATTTAAGCTAACCATTTACATTACCACCTTACCCCAGAAAAGACACTAAAGTTGATGAAATAAAAACAATACTGAAATATTTAAAGAACACTAGATTTCAAACTTTCTCTAAAGGTAACCCACAATAAGAAATGATCTGGACTCAGTGAAGACACGTACACACCCCTACATTTCATAAAATACCTTCACTATGTATAGCAGACCCTGCTACTTTCTATCACTTGAAAACAAACAGACAAAATTCCTTGCTCTTTGCCTACTAGAATGTTTTTGCCAACACTAATGGATAGCAACCCTTCACTTTAAAATCATTATCAGAGGCCTCTGGGGGCATTATTATTGAAGTACAAGAAATAAAAATTATAATATCATTACAAAAACACAGGATTTCTGCCATGATGGCCGAATAGGAACAGCTCTGGAGTGCAGATCCCAGAAAGAGTGATGCAGAAGGAGAGTGATCTCGGCATTTCCAACCAAGGTACCAGGTTCATTTCAAAGGGACTGGTTGGACAGTGGGTATAGTCCAAGGAGGGCAAACCGAGGCAGGGCGGGGTGCTGCCCCACCAGGAAGTGCAGTTGGACAGAGGATCCAGGACTCTTCCCCTCTGGTACTCCGGTTCAGATACTGCATTTCTCCCATTGCCTCTGCAACCCACAGACAAGGAGATCCCCACCGGGCTGAAAAGTGCCTCGAGTTCCTACCAGATCGGAGCGGTAGCTCTGGCTGCTGCCATGGGTTGGCAGAGATTTAGGTGGACGTTTTAAACCAGTGCTGACAGTGCCTGTGGGACAGAACTCCCCACTCCCTAGAAAGCTGGGGAGTTGAAAGCAGGGAGACATGTAATACGGCTTGGCAGGTCCCACCCCCACAAAGACCAGCAAACTGGGGCCCTCTCGCCTAAGAGATTCGCAGCTAGCACATCAGTTTGAGCTCAACCCAGGAAGATCCAGCTTGGTGGGGGGAAAGGCATCGCCATAGCTGATCTTACCTGTGTAAACAAAACCCAGAGGAAGCTTACACAACAGCTGGACTGAGCCCATGGCAGCCCAGGAGCGCCCCTGCAGGCAGACAAGGGACAGACTGCCTTGTGAAGCGACCTCCCGACCCCTGCATAACCAAAAAGACACCACATAAAAGAGAGGTCTGGCTGACAACTGGTGGGTACCCTTCTGGGACAAAGCTACCAGAGGAAAGATCAGGCAGCAATACTTGCTGTGCTGCAGCCCGCATGGGTGATTCCCAGGCAAGAAAGGTCTGGAGTGGACCTCCAGCAGTCCTACAGCAGAGGGGCTTATTAGAAAGAAAACTAAAAAACAAAAAGAAATAGCTTCAACATCAACAGAAAGGAGGTCCACTCAGAGACCCCATCTCGAATCACCAACTTCAAAGATCAAAGGTAGATAAATCCACAAAGATGGGATGAAACCAGCACAAAAGGATGCAATCATCAAAGACCAGGCTGTCTCTCCTCCTCCGAGGGATCACAACTCCTCACCAGCAAGAGAACAAAACAGGATAGAGAATGAGTTTGACCAATTCACAGAAGCAGGCTTCAGACGGTGGGTATAACGAACTTCTCCAAGCTAAAGGAACATGTTCTAACCAATGCAAACAAACTAAAAACCTTGAAAAAAGGTTAGACGAAATGCCAACTAGAATAACCAACTTAGAGAAGTACATAAATGACTTGATGGAGCTGAAAAACATAGCACAAGAACTTCACGAAGCATACACAAGTGTCAATAACCGAATTGATCAAGCAGAAGAAAAGACATCAGAGATTGAAGATCAACTCAATGAAATAAAATGAGAAGGCAAGATTAAAGAAAAGTGAAAAGAAATGGAAAAAAGCCTCCAAGAAATATGGGATTATGTGGAAAGACCTAATCTACATTTGATATGTGTACCTGAATATGACAGGGAGAATGAATCCAAGCTGGAAAATGCTCTTCAGGATATTATCCAGGAGGACTTCACCAGCCTAGCAGGGCAGGCCAACATTCAAATCCAGGAAATACAGAGACCACAACAAAGATACTCATCAAGAAGAGCAACCCCAAGGCACATACTCGTCAGACTCACCAGGGTTGAAATGAAGGAAAAAATACTAAGCGCAGCCAGAGAGAAAGGTTTGGTCACTCACAAAGGGAAGCCCATCAGATTCACAGTGGATCTCTCAGCAGAAACCCTACAAGCCAGAAGAGAATGGGGGCCAATATTCAACATCCTTAAAGAAAAAACTTTCAACCCAGAATCTCATATCCAGCCAAACTCTTCCTTCATAAGTGAAGGAGAAATAAAATCCTCTAGGGACAAGCAATTGCTGAGAGATTTCTTCACCACCAGATCTACCTTACAAAAGCTTTTGAAAGAAGCACTAAACATGGAAAGGAACAACCAGTATCAGCCACTGCAAAAAAGGTACCAAACTGTAAAGACCAATGACGCAATGAAGAAACTGCGGCAACTAATGGGCAAAACAACCAGCCAGTAAAAAAAAATGGCAGGATGAAATTCACACATAAAAATATTAACGTTAAATGTAAACAGCCAAAATGCACCAATGAAAAGACACAAACTGGCAAACTGGATAAAAAGTCAAGATCCATTGGTGTGCTGTAGTATTCAGGAGACCCATCTCACATGCAAAGATACACATAGACTCAAAATAAAGGGATGGAAGATTTACCAAGCAAATGGACAGCAAAGCAGGGACTGCAATCCTAGTCTCTGATAAAATGGACTTTAAATCAACAAAGATCAAAAGAGACAAAGAAGGGCATTATATAATGGTAAAAGGATCAATGCAACAAGAGCTAACTATCCTAAATATATATGCACCCAAGACAGGGGCACCCAGATATATAAAGCAAGTTCTTAATGACCTACAAAGAGACTTAGACTCCCATACAATAATAGTGAGAGACTTTAACACCCTACTGTCAATATTAGATCAAAGAGACAGAAAATTAAGGATATCCAGGACTTGAACGCATATCTG